GGTGTGTGGCTTGTATTCCGGTAGGAAGTTTCCAGTGATCAGAGATCTAATATGATACTAATAACAAATTCTTTTTATCTTACCTCAGTCTTTTTATCTGCTTATTGGTTTGATCGAATTTAGGAGGCGGTGGTGGTGGTGGCTATCAAGGAGGAGATCGTGGAGGACGAGGTGGTGGACGTGGTGGGGGAGGTGGTCGTGGTGGAAGCGGGAGAGATGGCGATTGGGTCTGCCCTAATCCTGGGTATGATTTGTTTCGTCGTCTATTACTGGGTTATTTTGTTTTGTTTTATTTTATTTTCATAGATTCATCGAGCGATTCAGCATCCTTGAATGCATAAATTTCAGATATTTATGATGGGGAACTTCTATACAGTTGTTTTGATATTAAGTTTATTTGTTGTTGCTAATATTTTTGTTTTTGAAATGCCAAATAGCTGTGCAAATGTGAACTTTGCTAGAAGAGTGGAGTGTAACAAGTGTGGTACACCATCACCTGGTGGTGCCAGTGACCGAAGTGGTGGTGGTGGTGGTGGAGGATATAATAGAGGTGGAGCTGATGGGGGTTATGGTGGTAATCGTAATGGAAGAGGCGGTAGTTACCATGGTGGTAGAAGTGGAAATCATGATGGTGGTCGCTATGAAGGAGGGAACAGAGGTGGTAATTCTTATGGTGGTCACCAGGGAGGAGAGGATAGTGGGTACAGTCAGGTTCCTCCATCATCAGCCCCCCCATCTGGTGGTGTTGGTGGCTCTTATCCACCATCTTTTCATGGTGGAAGTGCAAATTATGGTACGGATGCAGTTCCTCCGCCTGCAAGCTACAGTGGAAGTACCTACCCTCCAACTTATGGTGGTCCCACTGGTGGCTATGGCGGTGATGGTATAGGTGATGGACGGAGTGCAACTGGTCGTGGTGGGCCGTCAGCTGGATATGATGGTGCTTACAATGCAGGTGGTAAAGGTGGTGGTTACAATGCTGGTGGTAGAGGAGGTGGAAGCTATAATGCTGGTGGTGGTAGAGGTGGTGGTTATGGAAGTACACCAGCAGCCGAGCCAGCACAGGTGAAACAGTGCGATGAATCTTGTGATGATTCTTGTGATAATTCAAGAATCTATGTTTCGAATCTGCCAACAGATGTGACCATTGATGAATTGAGAGAACTATTTGGTGGCATTGGCCAAGTAAGTAATTTGTCATTAAACTATATTTTGTTGCATTTGATGTTCTATCCTCGTTGAAAAGTTATGTCTTTTAGTTCTTGAGGCATTTGTTTGTGATATTGGAAGCTCTTGTAGTGTTAGTTCTATTCTCCTTGCCTATGGAGCGTCTAGAATTGATATTCTCATTGGCAATGGGCTAGCTCTGTTCTTGTTGCCCATAAACCGTGTTTCGTTTCTTAAAGTGCTTAATAAATTTTTTCAGCATTGGCTTTTGCATTTAGCATGCGATAGTGAACTGTTTAATTGAAACCTTCTTTCAATTTCCAATTTGAAGATTGGAAGAATCAAGCAGAAGAGGGGCTACAAGGATCAGTGGCCTTGGAACATAAAAATATATACAGATGAGATGGGAAATAACAAAGGCGATGCATGTGTATCATATGAAGATCCCTCAGCGGCACATTCTGCTGGCGGTTTCTATAACAGTAATTACTGTGCTCTTTAGTTTATAATAATAATAATATTAGCAATTGTTTTTAATCTTAGTTCATGTATGGTCATGTTTTTGTACTCTCAGATTATGATTTGAGAGGTCATAGCATCAATGTTGCAATGGCTGAGAAGTCTGCACCGAGGGCGCCTACATACAACCATGGGTATTTGCTTGCTATTGTTATTTCAAAACAAATAGAAAAGTCTGCATTCTTGAGTTTAGGAATACATATATCTTGAAATGTGTACTTTGCGAAGTTCTTGCTTTTTGTGAGTTGACGAGCATGAGAAATTGGCTATTGTAATTACCAAGTTGATAAAAGCTAAGAAGACCTTTGGGTCCCTTTGTTTTCTCCTCACACATGCGTGCACAAAAAAAAATCTTGTCTGCAGGAACCAGGTTAGGTAACTTGCAGTTCTTGCAAATATATCAGATACTGTTTGATGTTCCCAGACTCCATGCTATCTAGGAACTCTGTGTGAATACTCAATAATCACCATGGTCTTGAGCTCTCATGCATGATGCTATTATTGATACTTCGATTTGATTTTTTCTCTGAAATTCTAAGATATTTTGGAAATTGTGCTTTTAATTAAATTTTTTCATGCTCATTTTAGTAGAAGTATGTTATCTATTAGTCTTCTTTGAGTTTAGAATTAATTATTTGACTGTCTCTCAAAATCATTTTATACTTGTGACTTTTCGTCCATAAATTCCAGTAGTTTTTTTTGGGGTAGTTTTTTGTTTTATTTAGTTTGGGGGTGGATTACTTATCTACCTTCTTTTTGTGCCAATTTGTGTTTCCTACAAAGACATTTAACTAATTCGTGGTTTATTCGGCCTATGATTGATGACCTTATATTGGACTGCCATTGAATTGATATTGTAATTCAATATCCAAGTATGTAGGATATGAATGTTTGATATGAATGGTTGCACCTTTTTTTTGTTATGATTATTGGGTTATGTTGCAAGATGCAACAATAGCTATTAATTTATTTCTCTCACGGTGTCTTCAAAGCTTCAAACATAATGTAGGCTATTATTCTTCTTTTGTTTTAATTGATTTTAGAATTAATTGTACGTTAAATTTGTTTTGTGTAGAATGTGACTCGTTTTTTTTAAAATGCTTCTGTTGTCTGAATGTGCAAATTATTTTATTAATTATGCTTTAAAAAAAATTCGCTCCTTGTCTTCTAACTCTCACCTTATCATGTTGCAGTGGTGGTGGCAGAGGTGGATATGGAGGTGGTGGTGGTGATAGACGTAGAGATAGCTATAGGGACGGAGGCTCTGGACCTGATAGACATCAGCATGGTGGAAATAGATCTCGTCCTTACTGAGTGATTCGGCATTGAGCATTTTATGTAATGGGAATTGTGATCTTAGTGTTTTAATTTTGTTCCGTGGCTGGATTCTTGAATTGGAGACCAAAGAGGTAGGTTGTTCACTTTCTATGGGCAAGAGACCTCTTTGCTCCTTTTTAATATATAGTGGTACCTGGAGGGGTTATAATCTTGCTCAGGCTTGAGATTAACCTAGTTGTGTGAATGTCTTTTTTATAGAGGCAGGCGGATAATCTCCAAACTGCTTGTTGCTAAGGTAGGTGTTGATGTTTTCAGGTGAGTGCTTCTCTTTCCATAAACCATCTTTACAATTTCACGGGTGCTGATGTATAAGCTCCTCCTGATCTCAGACATCCCTTGTTAGCTCTGATGCAAAGCATATCTTATAACCTATAATTATCATTTCTGCATTCATATTTTATTTATTAAATATTAACTTGCCACTCTTCTTTACTTCTAAATTTCATTCATTATTTCTTAGGGATTACTTGAAAATCTTTATTATTCCCTTATTCGTCTATCATGTGCTCAAGGCTGCTTCTGATTTTTCAAATTTGTCTTCTGTTTTTCAAAAGACTATCATATATCATGTGCTCTAGGGTTCAGAAAATTAGAGATGAGGATAGCTCATATTCAATATAGAAACTTCAACTTCTTGAGGTCTTTGTCAAGAGCATTTAATATATTACTGGGTGTAAATGGATTTTAGGCCTTTGCAATGTTGCATATTTTTGCCGATTTCTGTTGTATGTAGACGTCGGGATGACGCTCCATATGTTAAAAAAAGACTTATTTTAGTGTGTTAGGACTCGAGGCAAGTTAACCTCATGAACTGTGATTGCCACTGCTAGTTACAAGTTACCTTCTGCATATTCAGTGAGTGCAGGAAATATTTGTCAGCAATAACCTTGGAATTGTGTCGTATGAGTCTGATTTTGTTATTTGAAAAAGGATAAGTGGTTCTTTCTAGGCGTCTTTGTTCATATAATTGTTGTCTATATTTATTATAGTTATTGAAATGGGTTCATAGTTGTAGTACCCCGAGCTGATTATGAGTGTGACAATCTCGATTGTAATTGTGTTGTGCAGAGGAGCGATTGATCATAAGAAATGCTATTGAGCTCTTCAGTTGATTGGTGTCATGAAAGAACAAATGAAGATTTACATTTGAAACCGATGCTTGAGATCTGATTTTAATGTCTTCATCCAACAGTTTGGGAAATGTTTGTGGCTTTGAGTTGGGTTACCATACCAAAGTACTGTTCTTAAAAAACCAACCTCATCTGTTGTATCGGTTTTATAGTACGCTCATCCACGGTCAATGGTGTTTGATTCCCCCTAATTCTCGACCATACCATATGATTTTGAACTCGAAACCAGAAAAGCCCGAGGGAAAATTTAAATGTACTATATGTTTTCGTTAACTCATAAGTAACATTTTAGAAAATATTTGTAAATGCAATTTAGTTTGAACTATTTAATGATTCAGTAATCAATCTTTAAAACGGTATATTATTTTGTTGATATCGATGTTGGCCTTTTGGCCTTTAATATCATATTAATTATTTATTATTTACATAATTATTTATTATTAATTTTAAAATAATTAATTGCTTGATGTTTTGATGATAACAAATCTATTTAATTATGTCCAACCGAGACCCAGTTCCATACCGAAGTCTATTTAGATGATTTAGTTTTATACTGATTCAACAATCAAAGACTCAATTAGATAATTACTTTTATGTTGCTATATCGATACCTATCCAACAATCAAGACCCAGTTAGATGATTCAAGTTTGTAGTAAGGCAACTCTTAGTATTTACATACCAGAAAAAAAAGGGATGCTGATTTACATACCAGCAGATGTGGAATTGAGTTTCTCGTATGGTTGTCATTAATGGATAGATATTTATTATCGGTAATTTAGTTACTAAGCATCATATGTGACTTTATTATATTTCTTTAAAACGACGTTCGAAACTAAAATAAGAAATAGACGGATATTAATTTCTTCCCATCAAGTTCCATTTCATAATTGATGAAATGTGAAAGGATGAGAAGAAATGGTACCTTGTTGTTTCCATTACGGTTCTACAACGAGCTTAAGAATATTTCCAAAATTTAATCAGTGAATCAAAAGAGATGCCAAAATTTAGATATTGAACACTTTTCAGAACTGCCAAGGGTCCCCTAACAAGTTAAAATGTACATGACAGTGGCATACCTCTCCGGCGATCCTGGACGAAAGAACTTCCTCCGATGGAAGAACAGCTTCTGCGGCAGTATTTACAGTGCCTTCCGCCTGTTATGGAGTCTAGGACACTGAGACTCCTTCCACATCGAGCACAAAATTTGTCCATACATTGCTCTGCCCGTTTATTGCATGTGTGGTGGTGCTGGTTGCACGCTGTAAAGGGGTCCATGCGTCGGTGGTGCGTGAGCGTATTGCGAGGCAATATTTACACCAACTCCTCCTTGAACCTAGAACAAACCATCCTTCTATATTATGGATAGAAGCAATTTGGTAATCATTCTGAATAGATCTTATCAATGACATCAGTATGACACAACCGGACAATTTGAGTGTAGCTTAGCCGTTAAAACATCACTTCTGTTGAACTCAGAAAATGTGACCCATAAAATCTCATATATTTACATGTTAATCGAAGGCAAATCATAATAGTATAAACCCAAAACCCACCTGCTTAAGTTGTAAGGGGGCATAGGGCATGTTTCCCAACCCCATAAAACCACCTTCACAGTCACCTATGCAGAATTTTATAACAATTTTATGGTCAATGAAAAGGAGCAGCCATGTTGCTTGGTTCATAGATTTGGTTTTATATGTCTCGTAATGCTTTTAGTTTTGATTGCAAACACTTCAATATAAAGTGTTCACTAACCAATTCATTAGATGATTAGACCTATCCTTCACTCTTGAAAGTACTTTTGAGTGCTGTCTAGTCCAACACTAAGGCTGAAAGCATTCTATAAGTACCCTTTCAAGGAACACTATAAGGTGTTTTTGACTCTTTGCAAAAGTACTTCTATATTATTATCAAACATAACAATTGAGTCTGAAATGCGTTTGCCATCCCAAACATAACCTAGGTTATAAGATGACTTCATGTTCCAATGAATTTTAATGGTGTTCACCAAGAGTCAAGGTAGAACCAGCCCTGCAATGAATTTCTGAGTCATAGAACTAATACAGACATGGAGGAGTACCTGACGCATGCCATAAGGGTCAGGGGGATGTGAGCTCCCACTGTATCTTATGTCAGGATGGCCATAAGTTGCAGCATAACCAGGAACTGTATGAAAATGCAATGTAAAGAGAGTAAGTGGCAAAAAAAGGAGGATGCATAAGCTATATGAAAAGAAGGCTTACAAGGACTCGTTACAGCTGCCGCAGCCCTTGCTCTCTTCTCAGCATTGGCCAGTTCAGCCTGCAATTTCTCAACTTCCTGAGACATGGCAACCATACCCTTTTCCATGGCCTCACTCTGCTCAAGATTACTAGCGCGTGTCTGTTTCTCGTATTCAATAGCAGCCCTGTTCAGATCAACAACAGATAGCAAGAGGTAATTCCCAAGCCTCAATTATGCTCATCAAACAAACAGAATACTACATTGCATTTCTTCTGCCTAAAAAGAAGAATTGTACCAATTCACAAATTTTTCTTCAGGTTGTTTTGTTCTACAATCATAAAAACAAGAAACATGGGAGTTGGCTATAGAAAAACAATGAAACTTCAAAATGCCCATGATCCTCAAAAGAAACTGCTTATATTTTCATTCTACTAACAGCTCCCGATTCGATTGGTTTCTTGTTAAAAGGAAAACAAAAGTGATTCTCTAGATACCAATGGTTAAAGCAAATTCACGAAGGATATTTAACACAATATTAGTGCAGAAGAGAATTGTGCAAACTTTGCTAGACATGATAAATTGCTCACGAAGTAAGATCATACATGCTCTAGTATTAGACAAGACATAGTCTTGCACCAAGTGAACAGATATTAGGCTTGTTTTCTTGAACAAACATACTCGTTTTTTTTCTCTCTTTTTTTGGATAGATGGTCTTTAGTATATATTTTCACGTAAACATATACTACTATGAAAGGGTGTCATTTCTTCACAGCTATAGCAATATCCACAAAGAAATAGCTGCACCAAATGAACGCACTTCAGAGTTTTTGAATAGTTCAAGTAGTTACCAATGTTCAAAGATACTGAAAGACAAGGCATTAACATCACAGCATTAAGGTTTTGCATTTGATATCTTATTTGCGGCAGAAACATACAGCTAGCGAACAATTAGAATGGAGTATCCCAACATTTAAGCAAATACAGATTTTGTGTCAAAACAATCAAATCCAGGAAGAACAATTAAAGGGATAAACCTTACAAGCCAACTCAAAATAAATTGATGCTTTAATATGAAAAGGCTTATTTTCGAACTTAAGGGAGAAATGACAATTTACCTTCCTCTTTGAATTTCATGGTGCATTCTATCAATTTCAGCTTTAATAGACGGCAATGGCTGTGACTCTGAAGAGGTTTTAGAAAGGTCGTCGCGAATTGCTTGCAACTCCGTCGTTAACTCTTGCTTTACGGTACTCAGCTTATGTATATCCGCCCGCACTTGAACGAGCTCTGCCATCATAGCGTCCATGGCACGAACCTCAGCGCCCATCTTCAGCGATTTCTCATAAACCTCCCTCACCTCTGCGTCTCTCTCGGCCTTGACTTTAGACGCAGTGGCCGATAAGAGCCGAAGCTCTTTCTCGGCCGCTGCTAGCTCTTGCTTGAGCGCCACGTGAGTGGCTGCAAGCCGTTGGTTGTCGGAGAGGAGAGTTTGAATCTCTCGATGCTGCGTTGATATCCAATCTTCGAGAAGGATTGCCTGATGAGCCCTCGAAGAACCGCCGACGGAAGATGAGTAAGGAAGACGTTGATGGGCTCGACGATCATCACTCGGGCTTCGGTTCAATGGAAATTTGCGTCGTTTCAACGCATTCGGCTGATGGCTTCTTCCGGCCATGGCTTTGGATAGCGTCTTCCACCTCTTTCGATACTTTTTGTATTGCACAGCAGCTGAGATTTGAGGCGAAAACAATTGAAGTGATGGGATCTTGGCGACGGCGGTTTTCGATTCTGTTCCTTATTTGGAAGGGTTCCGCTCGTCGTTTCGTTCGTCGGTCGCCGGCTTACAGTCGACGGCGAGAATGTGTCCTAATGGGCTTTGATTTTAAACCCATTTATTAGTGGACCATAGGGTTTTTGAACCCACTTCCAAAATGGTCTTCCTTGGTCCCAAACTTCAAATAATTTCTATTTTAACATTTTTATCTTTAAATTTGTCCCTCAAAATTTTAGATTTTATTCCACTTTCAAATTTGTGTTTAGTACGTTTCTTGAATCGAGCTTGAAATAGTTACTAATATTGAATCTCCATGTGGTAAAACTAGTGAGAAAACTGATGATCAAAAGCTTCTAGTCCTCGAATTTCTTAGAGTTTTTACCCTAAGGTCGGGACATTGAGGTGAGAATTCTTTTGCTTAATTTTTTATTTGTATTATTGTTGCTGTTTCGTTTAGTTTATAAATGTGTGATCTCTGGCTACTCACTTGCAACATTGCTTATGTTTAACTTTGAGATATGAGACTATGATTTTCTGGACCAAAAGTCTTTTAATCAACAATGGCTTTAAGTTTCACACGCAGAATGGTTAAACTTCGTGAGCCCTCTTTTCCAACTGCAATGAAGGCAAGGTAAGATAAGGTAACTTCTTGTGTTTACGTGAACGTACTTGAGATTTTCTTTATCCCTTTGGTAAAGATGCATGAACACTAAAGAAAGTTTGACTAGCCTATCGTCTCCATGGTAGAGACTTTGGACATTCTGACATGTGTTAGAGACTTGGACACTTTCTAAACACATGTCAAATATTTGTTAGCATGTCAGACTCTAATTATACAACTCAATATAGACACAAAGTTAAAAGGTGTGGTGAGACTTAAGCTTTCCTTAAAGGCGGATTATTATAATCATGAGTAACTCATGACGCCACATGGTTGGAAAAAATATGGTAGTTAAATTTCACCTTCATTTTACTGGGTACTTTCATATTGCTGGTTTTCTTCTTCTGTTATCCCTGGAAGCTCGTGGTTGTTATGGCTCTGCATACCAAGTATCACTTATTCGCTTAACAAAAACCATTGATGAAGCAGAATCTGAGATGGATTATCTTGATAGTTCGCTTCTTCCTGTTGGCTAACTTATTTCTTAGTCTCTTGTTATATATTTGAAAGCCAACATGACAAAGATAGTCAAATATGCCTTATAAACATTGAACTCTTTCTATTATTATTTCATAATCATGGTCTACAATCTGATAGTATCGGATGAATTCTCTTTTTTGACAATTGGGTAATTGGGAAGTCAAAAGTTAAATCTTCTAACCAATTTAAATCATGAACGGTACAAGTCATCCAAATGGAAATATCCAAAAGTTCCCCAAATTTTGGATACAATTGTGTATTTTCCTGAATCATTTTTGGGATTTATTCATATTTCAAAAGAAAAAGAAAAAGAAACGTGTTATAGCGATTAGTCTAGTAACTTTTTTTTCTCTTCTACGAAATGTAAATGAGTAAGGAGAACTTGAATTGAACCTTGAGACAAACTAATTTGATCTATAGAGGTGTTATTCACTACAGATATATTTGTTCAGGAAAAGAATTATTGGAACACAACAGAGGTTTGCTCTTGTAAATGCAGATCACGGTGATGAAGTGGATCAAATTTCAGGACTTTATTCAGCACAGAGGTCTTAGAAAAGTGTTTGAAGGGAACAATAAAGAAGTCATGGAGATTATCTTCGATTGAATACCCAATTCACTTATTTTTGTGAACTTGAGCCCCAAATGAGGAAAACTTTGAAAATGGAAATCCCACTCCCCATCTACACGATTGGTCCTGCAATACCCTATTTTGAACTTGAAAAGGAACCTCAAGTAGCTAATAATGAAGGGTAGAGCAAATGTTTTCACCTTGTTTTTTACTTTTAGCTAATAATTAATTGTAAAGAAGAAATATCAGAGATTGTCCAAAGGTTCATCGATCTTAGCAGCTCCGAGGGAACACAAATGAAGGATAGAGCCAAAAAGCTAAAAGAAACCTGGATGAATTTATAAGGAGTATTTCACAAGGAGACAAATAAATAGGATGGATTTCATCTACTCTATTCAGTCTAATACTTGAGATTCTCAACCCAAAGCTCTCGACCCATAATGTTCTGATTGTATGATTATGTATTGAACCGAGTGGCTTTTCTCTTCACTGTCAAGGGTAGCACCATCTTATAAAATAATGTAGGTATAATTTATTAATATGAGAAAAGTTTGGTGTAAGAATTATGCTATGGAATAAGTTATTGGTTTACAAGAATAAGTTATGGAAGCAGATTATATACTGTGTTTCATTTTCATTGTAACCTTACTTGAGAAAATGATGAGATCATGAGCTCACGACCTGACCTACGACCACAGTGATATCGTCAAGTTTTCCCCCTGTTCAGAGTGAAAGAGTAAGTTACCTACCAATGAAAATATAATGGGAAGTTAGCTTACATCATATGAGTAAATTCTTTACCTGTAAGCTTCATTCCCAGTATTTTTTTCCAGAAAGGAACATCATAACCCTGTGAGGATTCAATGTGAAAGAAACAAAAGACATCCATTATAAGGAAGTCAATACAGAAAGTGAAAACCAACACATAAGAAGTAATAGCTGGGAAAGGATTTTACCTTTGATCTAGCCTCCAATGAATACGGTGATTCAAAGGTTTTATCCGCTGAATGACTACTTGCAAGGTTAGCTAACGCCTTAGCTAGCATTCAAAAGATAAATCAATAATGGTCAGGCCGATTGAATGATTGAGATCAACCTTACAGCAGATAGTAAACCAGATACCAGATACCACATACCAGCCTCACCAACATCAACATATTTGGTTGCGGTTGCAACAATCTCATGGTCAAAAACATTATCGAATAGTCCATCGGATCCCATTACTAAAATATCTCCCTCCATTAGCTCCACGTTACTAACCTATTACAATATCAAAACATGATATATCTGTTGATTTTTATGACCATTGAACAAGGAAGGTATTGGTCAAAGGAAGTGGTAAAGTAACCAAATAACCAGGTCTAAAAGAGAACCATATAACACCGAAATCTCATGGCATAATCTCTAATTTATTATTTTTTCATGTAAATTATGAAATACATAGTCCAACATCTGGGGGAGATCATTGGTCATATACATAAGATATCATTGGTCGTATACATAAGATGATTACAGAAATAAAACAACTTGTCTTCTCCATTTCAGTTATCAAGTTCAAACCTTCTCACTAGAACATAGTATGTAAAGATAAGAATCACTTCTTTTGAATAGTAACTTCATTACTATTTTATCATTTCTCCATCATTTTCCTGAGAACTTTGAAGTAGGGACAACAGAGTTATGTAGAAGTTGACAGCAACATAAATGTAAAAATAGGAACATCATCAGGATTTTTTTTTTTTTTTTTTTTTTTTTTTAAGAAAACAGTCCAAGTAAAGTTGAAACATTTTCACAATTATACTTCAAATAAATCAATATAGATACAGAAAATCATCATACCTTGGCATCGAGGAATGTCTGGCCAACTCGTTCTGAGCTCAGTTGATACGGGCAGTCAAAGTAATGCTCTTGTGGGGATGTGGAAAATATAATTTGACCTAAGGAAACCGTGTTTATGTTTATCTAAAAAATTGAAGATTCTGAAGTGTTGAAGAAGGATGGAAAAGTAAATTAAACATGACAGGTACCTTTACGAATGATCTTTAATCCACAATCTCCAACATTTGCAATTTTCAGCTTGCCATTCCTCTCCATCATTGCAACAATTCTGCCCATACCAATGAAATCTAAGGTAAACAACACTACCATTAATTCAAATATTTACCAGAATATGAAACATAAAGGTTGCAGGGTGCGTATCTAATATGGAACTTATTTAGACTTTTAGAAGCGTTGGAAAATTTACACAGTAGCTGAACCAGTTGCAGAGGTAGAAGCATGTGCCTTCCTCAAAAGAATCTGGGGGTCGTTATTAACCTGCTAATTAGCGGAAAATGAGATGGAAAGAAACACCACATATTCCAACAACAAAAAACTACAATGGTAATTCAAACTCTTTTAGTGGTCCAACTTCTTAAGAATTCATAAACCATACAATCAGTTGAGTTTTTAGATGATACAACCTCATCGTCATTCTCCACCAAATCTGAAGCATTAGCCAAAAATTCTCGAGGAAATAAAGCAGGATCCACATTTTCTTTAGCCCAACTAGCCAAGAAAAAGATACAAGAACAATCATTATCGAACAATCTAGGAAATACCTTTCAGCATGAAGGAAGATGCTAATGGCAATACACGTATCTCCACGAAAAAAGAATATATGAAAATTATACCATACCCAGAGACACCATCAGCAACAGCAATAACTCCTCCCGAGTAGCTACTGACAAAGAAAGCATCCTCCCCTCCTGTGAGTGCCTTCAAGCACACGAGAAAAGTAAGAAAGTTATCAACAGGGAATTAGCATTTTATTAGCTCAAGTTAGCGATTGGAAGAGTATTGCAGCCCACACTCACCTTGTTAGGGTGTGGAATGAGATGAGTTCCAACGCACAAGGATACCTCTGATCTAAAATAAAGAAGATTAACAGAAATTGCAAAGAAATTAGCATTAGGACTTGAAGAAAGAAGCCAAAATAAAAAATTATGTCATACTAATAAATCAAATGGTAGCGCAGTTCGTTATCATCAGGTGGAGTGGGACAACAAAGCGATTACCTAAAATCCGAACAACAAAAACAGTCGAAACATTCGCGTATGCGTATATGCATTAAGAAGTTCAAAGGAAAACGAACACACCATACACGAAAATCTCAATTCACTCAACAGGCAAAGAGCTCCGGGAGAAAAGGATTCAAGCTTCAATTCGGAAAAGAGATGATGACAACGCATGACACTTGAAGCGATAATGATTCAAAAAATAGTGAAACGAAAAATTCGATAAGAAAACAGAATTAAACATACTGAACATTGTCGAGATGAGGCGGAGCAGAGTAGAGCAAATTCCTTCTCTTCGAACATTGAGAGAATCTTGAAAGAGAAAAGGAAGGGAAACGAATGAGTGGTTGAGACTGAGGAACTGAGACATGGAGGGCGAGTGACGCCATTTCCCGCTTCCACCTCTCCCGCCTCTCACCCCTCAAGAAACGAGAGCCAGATTTTGTGGCTTCGATTCATATTTGTTTGGGTTCAGACAAATATGAGTTTATTTCGTTTTTAGTAAGCACCAGCGGTCTGGTCTAGCGATAGAATCGCAACAGACCGGTTTTGACTCCCGGCTGGTGCATTTTTTTTTTAATCTATTTAAATTAATTGTCCATCTTCATAATATGACTGGTCGGACTCTCATCCGATGCTTTACCGCCGAATGCCTGGATGAATCAGCCATCCTCCGTACTTATCCAACCACATGAATGCTACTAGATTTTAAGAAGTAGATTGTGGCTGTCACACGACAAGATAGACTAGACTAGGGGCGACTCTCAAGTGGCGCCTATCCTGCCACATGAATGCTAAAATAGACAAATGTCATGATCCAGCCACACCAAGAGTGTGCATTCAAGCCAAACTGAGGCATATACAATATTGGAGAGAGAGACCGAAGACAAGCTCGAAAAGCACAAGGTAGGGTCTTGGGTCATAATCTTAGAAGTCAAGGTTTCGATAGAGTTCAGCATGCATCTCTCTAGAATTAAGTCCGTCTATATGAAAGATAAAAGTTTACCAAATTTTGTGTCAATCAGATATCGAATAGACACTCCACGTGGTCGTATGACCGCTCACCAAAATGACGAGAGCTCTAGAAGGATTGGAAATGCCTCAAAATATACTATATTAGAGGCATGTTGTTAGTTTTCCATCACCCTTAAACATGTGGCCTAAGCAAGCTATCTTGTGACACATACATGTGTCACAACGTGAGCGATGACTCATGTGTCAGAGGTTTGATTATGCTCCCTCTATCTAAAACGGATTCCATAAATGATTTAACATGAACACGAGAGGGTCAAATGCCTTGATAGAACCTGAATGGATGGATGTTGGGGATCTCCTGATGAGATGAGAGACACATGGGCTAGTTCCGATAGATATGTCCGAGGAAGCCAAGATGGCCAAGATGGCCGAGCTATCCCAAGACACAAAATGACATCACAATGCATGGATCGTTCAACGAGAACTAAAATGACAAGTTGACGCAACGTTGTATTGAGAGACCTCGACCCTGAGTAAAGATAAGGTCAAGCCAGATGACTTAGTCTAGGGTAGAGACGATCAATTAAGTCGCAAATAATTGAGAATGTATAAGTACAGATCCAGTCTTCTTCTTCTGCTAAGAGAGAGCTCGGAAGAAATCGTGATCTAAAACCGAACTAAATGCTCGTTGAACTCAAATTTCAACATATTTTGCATATTATTACTAATGGAAAACTTCAAATACATAAAGATTAATCTCATGCACTGCTCAGAAACTTGCAGCAATAATAGAACAAGCAGCTGAACACACAGGGCATTGATGCAGACATCATCAAGCTCCAATATTCTCAATATCGGCACTTTTATCCATTCTCTTCACAATCCCAGCTATAATCTGTTCACAAAATACATTTTCCCAAATAAGATCACAAAGGTAGGCTTAGAATTGGCGTAGAGTTTCATACCTTTCCAGGACCCAATTCATAGCTCTTTTTCAGCCCCTTGTTGAGAAGAGTTTTCAGTGTTGTTTCCCACTGAACAGGACAAGTCACCTGTAGAGTTACAAGAATTTAAACCTTAAACCTCAAAGTATACGTAAAATATTGGTATTTAATCTTTGCTATTTGTTTTTATGTTTATCCACCATAAACTTATAAACTTATATCGTTGATAGACGTAAAAATGATAAATGGGAAAGGTAGTAGGAAAAGATTTTTCCCGTAAGCTAAATGGGGCAGGGATAGAGAAGGTTGAGCTAATTACGAAGGATTACAAAGGATGTAACAGCCCTAGCTCACCACTAGTAGATATCGTCATCTTTGGGTTTTCCCTTTCGGGCTTCCCCTCAAAGTTTTTAAAACACACTAGGGAGAGGTTTCCACACACTTATAAAGAATATTTCATTCTTCTCTCCAACCGGTGTGGAATCTCACAATCCACCCCCCTTTGAGGTCCAGTGTCCTCGTTGGCACTTGTTCCCTTCTCCAATTGATGTGGGACCACCCAATCCACCCTCTTTCAGGACCCAGCATCCTAGATGTACACCGCCTAGTATCCACCCCCTCTCCAGCCTCACTGGCACATCGCCCAGTGTCTGGCTCTAATACCAGTCCAAGCTCACTACTAGTAGATATTGTCCTCTTTGGAGTTTCCCTTTCGAGGCTTCCACACCCTTACAAAGAATATTTCGTTCTCCTCCCTAACCGACATGGGATCTCACAAAGATGTCATTAGTCATGGTTTAGAAAGTTGAGCTAATTACATGGCGTGCCAATAGTTTCTTCATTGTGTCAGGATCTGCGTGGGGCTGTGCATCAACATTGGAGATTATTGGTATTCTGGGGGTTCTGATATCAGTAGCAGCAAGTGCAGCTTCTAATCTCGAGACAGCAGGTTCCATGAAGCTAGTATGGGGCGCCCCCGACACAGCTAGCCGAACCTACCATGGAGTTATGCAGCCATTGCCATGTTAGTTCTAACAGAGCTGAAGTACTTGACTTCAAAATTCAAGTTCCATTATCCCGAACGGGATGTAAAATCTCCATTTAAATGGATCAATACCGTCTTTCGAGCTTTGAATGACTTAGCCTTAGCTTCAACAACTTCTACTCCTTTTAGACCTCCTGATACAACATAATGTCCCTGTGATCATAGGAGACAGTATTAACTAAGCTGATGAAACTTGAAACAAACAGCTTAGAAGAGCCTTACAGGACAGAGGAAATTGGCTATCTGAACTCGGCTGGCTTCATCGACTTCTTGGTTAGCTGAATCACAGAGCTGCTGAACCTTGTCTGAGTCCAATCCTATGATACTCACCATGCCACATTGTACACCATCAGCAGCTGCCTGAAGGAAGTTATGGTGGCTGGTTTGGTTTCAGTAGCTGAAATCGGAACGTCCCGTTAATGAACTTGTTATCGTTACCTGCATTGCCTCCCCCCTTAACTTGACCAGCCTGAGTCCATCCTCAAAGCTAAAAATGGAACCAAACCCATTGGCAATCATGTCAGTGTGGAAACAGAATCACCAGAGTCTACATATAAAGATCTAAGATAAGCTCATTTGATGCTATTTACTGGACTGATTATACACCTGAAAGCCCCTGCAAACGTTAATGCGGCGTACTCGCCCAAGCTTAGACCACAAGTGACATCAACAGAGTCAATTATTTGTTGGCCTCCATCACGAGCACGAAGTAGCTCAACTGCAGCTAGACTTGTGACGTAGATTGCTGGCTGCAGTTGCACATATATGAATGGTCTCAATAATTAACTACCACTAGCTCATAACGGTCAAGGCGCTAATGAGATTCCCTCGAAGACAAAAGCAAAAGGTAGAGGTGTTCATATGACCTGATCATTCGACCAATCTAAACTACTCAATTCAAATCATAAAAGTTGGATTGGGTTGTGAACTCTCAGTTCACTAACCTAACCAACCCAACCCAACCCGTATGCACCCCTTGAAAAAGGATAAACTTCTCGAAAACGGGCCTTTTGACAAGAGAAGATTGGACTGATCAAGATAAAATACCTGACTGATAATAGCTGAATCTAGTTTTTCCTTTGGCCCATTAGTGCAGACATTAAGAAGATCAAACCTGCAAACAAAGATGAAACAACATTACATCTCATGGGCAATCCCTCCATTGCCTGTTAGTGTAAGGGGAGGGTCAACTCTCTAAGTATGGTTGACCTTGAACTAAAGTCAATGCAAGGACTAATCCAAGATGGAGGAATAATTAATTGGGGACGTACCCTAAAATATCATTAGCTGTCTTGAACAAGTCAGCTGCAGCAGGAACGCTTTGAGATTCCTTTCCCATTCCCACAGCTTGTGCACCCTGAGTACTCGAGAGTGAAGAAAGCAAAAACATTCAAAATTTTGTTCGTAAGATAAAAAGAAAAGGAAATCATAACTATTGTCCTTTTTAACTTCGGATGACCTACTCTCAACAGGATGGCAAATCTCCATTTTAACTAAGAATGGGGAAAATAATATGGAGAGGTTTTTCTTCAATGAGACCGGAGACCGGAGACCGGAGACGGAGATTATATTCTTAGTCCTCGTCTCCAACCCTGTCAAATTCTCATCCCGCTCACCAGTCCCCGCCCCACCTTGTGGACGTCTCTACAGTAGGCTGCTTCTTCTACTCCTTAATCAACTCAATAGAGTCATAAAAAGGTAGAGAATACTTATTTCTCTTGCTATTTGCTTTTATTTGTACAATACACCTATTGGTCTGCTTTGACCCATTGCACACTCTTATAAGCTTCGTTCCCTTCTTCAATCAATGTGAGATCTCACCATTCATCACATTGAGGGCCATCAAGATCTCACACAATCCATCTTTTTTGGGGGTCAGCATCCTCACTAGCACACCAACCATCGAGATCTCACAATTCATTCCCTTAAGGGCCCTACATCCTTGTCGGTACTCTACCTGGTGTCTGACTCTAATACCATTTGTAACAATTCAAGCCCATTGCTAGCAGATATTGTCTGTTTTGGTCTGTTACGCTTCGTCATTAGCCTCACGGTTCTAAAATGCAACTAGTAGGTAGGGACTTCCATACACTTATAAGGAACGTTTTGTTTTCCTCTCCAACAGAAATGGGATGTCACAATACAATACTAAACATGGATACGACAGGATAGGAACACAGTGATACGTCCTTTCTAAAAAAAATTGAGGACGAACATGCTTATTAAAATGCATCAATTTCATCAGAAATATAGATCTCAATTTCAACATGAGGACGCCTAATTCTTCTCGAAAACCATTTCTAGTGCATCGAGTAAGCAATACCAAACACACACATACAAAAAAAAAAAAAAAAAAAAAAAAAAAAAAAGAAGAAGAAAAAACTGACCTGACCAGGGAACAGAAAAGCAAAAGTGGGCTTATAATCCAAGAACAATGAATCATTAATCAACGTCTGCGATCGAACAGAATCGCTCATAAAAACCCTATGAATCAAGAAATTTGCACCAGTAGAGTTTCGGAATCCATTTCTGAAGCCCATGAAGGAGGCGGAGGCCCTGAAAGAGGAGGAAGCATTGGGAGGCAACTTCTTCAGAGAAATTGTGGAGGGGAGAGCGAGAGAAGAGGTCATCACGGCAATGAAAATGGAAGCGGGAGATCGGAGGATAAGAAAGCCGAGCAGATGCCATGATCGAATAAACGGAGGTCTTTTATAGCTCCCTCAAATGTCCATGCGTTTAGCAGTCTTCTCCGATGGTAGAGACGATGGAAAACGGAACCATCCCACCCAAACCAGCCAACTATTTAGTATTTTTTTTAATTAAATTATTAACAGTTTCATTCAAAACTAATTTTTTTAAAAATATATTTGAATATTAAAGAATATTTTTATTAATTTAGCTTCATTATTAATTTAAATTTTTCATAAACACATATTTCTATTATTCATTTTTAATAAATAATTTCTATTCTGTAATATAATCTATTATAACTCCTTAATAAATCTAAAAATATTTTATAAATAAACATAATACAATTTTTAAAAATATAAATAGAATTTAGTCACGGTCTTTATAAATGGTATCAGTACCGGATATTTGGTGTGCCAGCATGAACGCTAATATTCACGGGGTGGAATGTAAGATCTCACATTGATTGAAGAGATAACGAAATATTTATATCGAGATAATTAACTAATTAAAATGAATTAATTAAATATGCAATAATTATAATTAAGTTTGTTTAATGTATTAATATTTAATTGATTATATTTTTTATATGGCTTGGTTGTAACAATTTAACATGTTAATCAATCAATTAATTACCATTAATGTATTATAATTGAATATTTAATTACATTAACTGAGTACTTTACTACCCATTGATTTTAATATAGCCTTAATTTAATGCTAACTTACTAATTAACTTAAATTAGTTAATTAAATAGTATTACTGATTAACCAAAAATTATTATTGGAGTATACTTAAAATTTAATAATTAAAACTATTTAAATAATTTAATTTATAAAAATAAAATAACTAACTCAATTAATTAATTACCTGAAAGGATTGAGTTTCTTTTTGAACTCGTAAAAAGAGCTGTATAGCATTTGGGCTTTGTTTATGGTCTCCAATAAAATATGTTATGTAATTTTACTGCTGATTAACTTAACTAATTTACCTCACTAATTAAATTTTAATTTATTTTTCATTAATATACCTTATATTTTAGACGTTGAGGTTATTTTGTAATAAATTATAATAATTATCCTGTTTGCGAAAACGTAAAAAATTAAAGTATCTTGTATCACTGTAATAATTAGTTTTAATTTAATTTTCATTCTATTTAAAAAAATTTAGTTTGTTTTAAGATCCATAATAATTTTAATAAAATTATAAAAAAAAATAATTATTATAAATAAAAAATCAAATACAATGTAATAAGTCTACTAGACTAAATTATTTCAAGCACCGACAGAATCATTTTTTTGTTTTAAAAAGGTGGATGGGGTCAGACGGCCTTCTCGTGCAAAGAAAGTCTTCTCTTATTAGATGAATCCAAATTTCATTTGAATCGAATTTAATCATTATTTTCTATAAATTTTTATTTTCAAGGGTTTTGGTCGGATAAATACAGCCAAAACTCAAATGAAGGTTGAAAATAGATTATTCATAAAATCAATAAATTAGCTATTTTACAAAAAAAAAAAAAAAAAAAAAAACGTGGGTTTTATAATAATCAATTTATAATTACTAAATACAATTCTTTTTTTAATAAAATATATATATATATATATTAGGAGAATTTACTTTTATTGATAATTCTAATAAAAATATAATTTCAAATGGATTAAATAAAGTCAACAGAAATTTGGTGGGAGAGGGTTTTACTGACAGGTAAACAGAGAAATACAGAAAATAAACGAGTGAGTAAACAAAAATCTGTAAAAGGTAAAAAAGGTTAAAAAGTAAAAAAGTAAAAAAAAAAAAAAAAAAAAAGAGACCAATGGCATGCAGTGGATTGACAGAATTCTTGGAAAGTGCTCTTTTACAGAGAAGTAAGGCCTTTCCCCTTCTCTCTTCCTTCATGCGTCAGCTTCCATATCTGAACCTCCATGGTCGGGTTGGTTATATTCGTCGAGTCGGTGACTTAAGTAACTTAGTTCACAATCAACTAAACCCAATCGTTTAGTTCATCAAATTGCTATAAAAAAATCTATTTATTCACGACATACATAAATCAACCAAAATCATTTCAATTCAAAATTCAATTAAAACCCAATTCAATAGCTTACAATTTGAGTGATATAATCAACATCCCAATCGTTACAAACAATCAATAGAAAATTTAACGATTATGAACGTAAGAAGAAGAATGTAATGACATAATCATTCCATTTAGAATAACTTTTCAAATGCTTAAAAAACGATTTTTATTAAAACGTTAACGAGAGGCTATGAAAGGAAGAGGAAGAGGAAGGAGAAGACGAGTGAGTAAGAAGAAGCTATGAAACTCAGGATGGATAGCGCCATTGAAAGAAAATGGAAGGTGTAATAATATTATTATTGATACGAACCATGGCGCTATCCCTCCTGAGCTTTACAGATTCTCCCAAACTAAACCCTCCCCTCTCTCTCTCATTTCTTTTGCTTTCCTGGCTTGGCTGCCCACAGACAGGCTAACCCCAAACCCTTATTTATAGCCCTAAACCCCTTTTCTTTTTTTTTTCTTTTTTCTTTTTTTTATAATTTAAATTAATATTGTAATATTTAAGTTAAATTACTAAATAAATGAGATAATTTGGAAACTAATTTAAGTTTCATTTATTTTTATTTTTTAAAATTATTATTATTATTATTATTTCAATTTTTCCCTAGGAAGATCAGGTGAAAACTTTGTCAGTAACTTATTTATGAATTTTTACTGAATAGGAGAGGGGAGTAGTTGAATTCAACACAGTCAAATTTTCATTTTCTTTTTTTTTTCTTTTTCACTGTTCTTGTCATGTTTATTTTTTTTCTATTTCTATGAAAATGAATTAGAGTAAAAAATAAAAAATAAAAAAATAAAAAAATAAAAAATAAGTTTGTCGGGCCAAATATCAAAGATCGTATAAATTATCCCACTCTAACGCCTTATGTCTAACCTAGAATTTAGATCAAGAATTGATATCCATAAATCAACGACAAGTCATTTCAATTTTTTTTTTTTTTTTTACTTTAATTCAAATGATTTTTAGAAAAATTATGAGAAAGTGATCTCGGTTCCTTTTAATGTAATTTGATGAATTTCTTTTAACTATCCTACTTTTAAATTTAGTATTACTCTGGACTCGATTCATTTATTTACTCGATAAGAACATGAATTATGTTGAGATATAATATTTATAATATATATTACTTATGAAATATATCTTATATTTTTTTAATGTATATTTTATTTTATTCTCTGTATTTAATTATTTATATTTTCTTGTTGTCAGCTTGTATTATATTTATATGTTATCAATATCAATGAGAATATACACATTCTATTTCTCATTCTTAATAGGGTATGAGAGTCAAATGTCGAACAAATGACTCGAGAAGAAAAGGAGTTAAGGCACTTCGAAGGCAGTAAAAAATGACTAAGACTCCAGAGGAGTCGAGCCTCGATTAAGAGGAGGTGTTGGATGATGAAAGTGCTACATCTTCATTGGTACGAGGCTTTTTGGAGAAACTCAAAGGAAAGCTATGAGAGGTTATGTTCAAAGTAGACAATAGCATACAATTGTGGAGAGTCTTGTTTATGAGCGGATTAATGAAGGAACGTAGGTTAAGGTAAATTTAAGGATAGAAGAGGAAAGAAGAGAAGCAAGAAGGAAGAGGAAGAGTGTGGCCTGAAATTGAGGCCCCTCGGGCCCTCAGAGCCTGCAAATAAATTGTGCATTTAAGTTTCGCAGTGCACTTTAAGGTGTGATCTGAACCCCAAAACATATCTGTATTAAAGAAAAAGGGTGTGTTTGTGCTGCTTCCAATTCCATTTCCAAACAGGTCAAACTTTTTCAGTACTGTCTTAGATTTTCTGTCCCTTTTTTCTCACCTTTTTAGTCTTTTTTTTTTTTTTTTTTTTTTTTTTTTTTTTTTTTTTTTTTTTTTTTTTTTTTATTACTTTTTCTATTTCATTTCACAATCCAACTTGGATTTCAGCCTAACTCAACTCATGGTTCGACACCAAACCATGGTTACTATTTCGTTCAATTTGTATCTTTTCCATATATATTAGTTATGAAATATATCTTAATATTTTTTTATATATTTTATTTTTTCATTCTTAACATATTTAAATACAGTTCGTTCGTTGATTAAGAATGCCCAACTTCTCTTATCAAATTGATAGCGACTAGAAATCTTGAGAATTTAAATGATGTGAGATCCCACGTTAGTTGGATATGGAAACGAAGTATTTCTTAAATGTGTTTTAAACTCATGAAATTAATAACGATACGTAATGAGCCAAAACGAGCAGTATCTACTAGTGGTGAACTTGGGGTATCACAAATGATATCAAAGCTGCATGTTACTAGGCGGTGTGCCAGCGAGGACGCTATTCTATAAGGAGGTGTGAATTGTGAAATTTCACATTGTTTGAAGAGGGAAGAAAGTATTTTTTATAAGAGTGTGAAAATCTTTCCTTAATAGACGCGTTTTAAACACGTGAGACTGACGAAAGTTGTAATGAGCCAAAACGGATAGTATCTGCTAACAGTGGACTTGAGTTATCACAAATTGTATCAGAGAAAGTCACCGGGTGGTGCGAGAATGAAGACACTAGGCTCTAAGAGGGATGGACGGTGAAATCCTACATTGATTGGGGAGGGAATGA